ATCATGACATTGAGTGTCTTTTAAACCTTTCGAATGCCTTAACTCCTACCTTGTTGGTATTGCTACTCCAGATTTGATGAAATGTCAGCAGACAAAAGCATTGCACATTGAAAGCCTGACAGCTTGAGTTCAGTCCCTGGGGCCCAGGGGCCGAGAGCAGAAGGGGAGAACCAACCCCACAAAAGTTGTCCCTGGGGATCGGGACTGGAGAGATGACTCGGTAATTAAGAGCATTTGCTGATACCTCTCTTGGGCATATACTCTAAGGATGCTCAATCATACCACAAGGACACTTGCTCAGCTTTGTTCAGAGCAGTATTATTCTTAATAACCAGAACCTGGAAACAACCTAGATGCCCCTCAACTGAAGAATGGATGAGGAAAATGTGGCACATTTACACAATGGAGTACTACTCAGTGGTAAAAAACAATGACATCTCGAAATTTGCAAACAAATGGACAGAACTAGAAAAAGCCATACTGAATGAGGTAACCTAGACCCAGAAAGACAAATATAGTATGAACTCACTCATAAATAGATGTTAGACATAAAGCAAAGGACAGCAAGCCTACAGTACAGCCCACAACATCAGAGAACCTAGACCACAAAGAGGACCCTAAAAGAGACATACATGGATCTATTTTGGAAGGAGCAAAGGACAGGATCTCCTGAGTAAATTGGGAGTGTGGGGGCCAGGGGAAGAGTAGAAGGGAAGAGGGGAGGAAGGGGGGTGGGATAAATATATAGCTCAATTAAAAACAATTAAAAGAACACTAATTAAAATAAAAAAGCAGGGTTGGAGAGATGGCTCAGAGGTTAAGAGCACTGCCTGCTCTTCCAAAGGTCCTGAGTTCAATTCCCAGCAACCACATGGTGGCTCACAACCATCTGTAATGAGGTCTGGTGCCCTCTTCTGGCCTTCAGGCATATATGCAGACAGAATATTGTATACATAATAAATAAATAAATATTTTTAAAAAAAAAAGCATTTGCTGTTCTTGTAGGGGATTTGGGTTTTATTCCCAGCACCCACTCTGGGCAACTTGCAACTGCCTTTAACTAACTCCAGCTCCAGGAGAGGCTGGTTTTTTGTTTGTTTGTTTGTTTGTTGTTTTTATGCAGGGTCTCACTCTGTAGCCTTGGCTGGCCTGGAACTCACCAGGTAGACCAGGCTGAGCTTGAACTCACAGAGATCCACCTGCATCTGCCTCCTGAGAGCTAAAGACTAAGGCCTGTGCCGCCAGCCACTACTGTCCCTATAGCCTTGCTTCCATCTTTTTTTTTAAAATATCTATTTATTATGTATACACTATTCTGTCTGTATGTATGCCTGTAGGCCAGAAGAGGGCACCAGACCCCATTACAGATGGTTGTGAGCCACCATGTGGTTGCTGGGAATTGAACTCAGGACCTTTGGAAGAGCAGGCAATGCTCTTAACCTCTGAGCCATCTCTCCAGCCCCCTTGCTTCCATCTTTATTTGCTTGTTATGGTTTGAATGAGAAATGACTCCCATAGGCTCAGATATTTGAACTCTTGGTACCCAATTTGGAAGGTTTTAGAGCCTTTAAGAGATGGATCTTATTTTATCATTATCTTTTTTTTTTTTTTTTTTTAGCTAGGGTCTCTCTGTGTTGCTCTTGCTGTCCTGGAACTAGCTTTCTAGACCAGGCTGGCCTCAAACTCACAGAGATCTGCCTGTCTCAGCTTCCTGAGTGCTGGAATCACCACCAGGCTAGGAGGTGGAGAAGGAAGTTTGTCACTGGGCATTGGGTTTAAGTGTTTATAGCCTCCTCGTGTCCAGCTTGTGCACTAGGCTTCCTGGGTATGGGTGGGACTGTGAGGTCTCAACTTCCTGCTTCTCTGTTGGCTGCTGTGCCTTCCCATTATTATGAATGCCCTCCCTCTAGAACCAGAAGCTAAAACAAGTGAGTCCTTTCATAGTTATTTTTGGTCATGGTGTTTTGTCACAGTGACAGAATTCCTGATATCTGTTTGTCCCCTTACTTTCAACCTATGTTACTTAAAAAAAGAAAGAAGAAAGCAAGCCAGGTCCTTTAATCCCAACTCTCAGGAGGCAGAGGCAGGTGGATCTCTGAGTTCAAGGCCAGCCTGGTCTACAGAGTGAGTTCTAGGACAGCCAGGGCTACACGTGGAAACTCTGTCTCAAACAAACAAACAAACAAACAAACAAACAAACAAACGACGGATGTTTCTTGTAAACACTATGAAATGATTGATGCTCGTGTGATACTGCTGGTTCCTGTTTCTTCTCGTGCTGTGCTCATTACTGTAACTTATTTCCTCCTCACTTTTCCTTTCCTTCGTTCTGAAGAGACTTTGGGAATTTTAACTATCTAGGAATTGTTAAGATTTTAGGCACCAGAACAGGAAAGATGTCTAAGCAGTTAGGACCAATGACTGCTCCTCCAGAGGACCCAGGTTCGATTCCCAGCACCCACAGAGTGGCTCTCACCCATCTGCAAATTCAACCCCAGGGGAACCTAGATCCTTCTTCTAGCCTCTGTGTGCATGGGACACATGTTGCAGCCTCTGTGTGCATGGGACACATGTTGCACAGCCACACATGCAAAAACACCCAGACACATAACATAAAATAACAAGGAAAAAAAAGATATGGGGTACCTTACAAATGAGCTAAATGCATTCTGAAATGAACTGGCTTTAAGTCTTTGAGGATCAAGATGGAATGTTCTAATGACATATTTAGCTGTTAAATTGGCAAGAACACCTTTCAAAGATGATTATCACTGTCAGCCTGATTAGATTTGGAATCACATAGATAACACCTTCAGATATGCCTTTAATAGTGTTTCCAAAGAGGTCTATGCTATTTTCCTTGTGAGGTTTGTGTGTGTGCGTGTGGTGTGTGTGTGTGTGTGTAGGGGGGTACACATGTCCCTGGAGAGGCCAGAGGCCAAAATTAGTTAATTCCTTTATTGTATTTCACTTTATTTATTTAGTTATTTAGTTAGTTTATTTTTGAGACAGGCCGACCTGGAACTCCAGAGATCCGCCTACCTCTGTAGGTAGGAAGCTGGGACTGCAGACATGTACTGTGATGCCTGGCAACCAATTAATGAGAAAGAATCTTTCACCAAACCCAGGCAGGGTCCAGAGCTTGCCATTTTAGCTAACTTGACTGGCCAGCGAGCTCTGGGGAATTACCCTGCGCCAGCACAGTCTGGAACCACGAGTCTTGGCGGAGGGTGTCCAGGTTGAATGAAATCCACAGAGCACGAGGTTTAGGTGAAACAGCAGCTCGTTTATTGGTCTGCTGGGGCTAGCTTTTATACCATGGCACCAAATGGGGAGGGGGCTGCGAAGGGACTGTCACCTGACCCAAGGAGGAACTCTCACCTGACCCCAGTAGGGGTCAAGGACTGCTCACAAGCACTCCACCTTCACCTGTCCCCAGTAGGGACTGTCACCTGACCCCAGCAGGGATCAAGGAATAATCACGTGCACTCAAACTTCCTCATCCAACTCCAGGAGCAGAGGGAAGTTAAGATTCTTTGCAGATAAGCACCTCAAATGGGGGCAGGGAAATGGAACTCGGGGTAGCAATTCCCACAGGGAATATTCCTATCCCTAAGATCCCCAATCCCAACAGCACTGGGGTTCTTGGCAGGTAACATCACACATAGGATCCAAACTCAGGTCCCCTTGAGGCACAGCAAGCACCTTACCTGCTGACCATCTCCCAGATCCCCAGAAAGGTTTGAGAGGACTCACCCTGATGTGGGTGACACCTTCCCAGGGGTTGGGGCTCTGGACAGAGTAAGAGGGAAATAGGAAGCCAGGGAAAATTCTGTTTCCTGGATACAGACACATCTTCCTAAATTATCCAGGCTGGCCTTGAACTTGACTGAAATCCTTCTGCCTTAACCTCTGAGGTACATAGGATTGCTGGGGGGCAGTCTCAAGTCTGACTTAACCTGTTTATTTAGGCACATAATAGAGATTTGGGAAGGACCGAGCTCATTGAAAACACAAAACAATCTAAATCTTCCACACTCTATAGGGAATTCGCCCACAGACTTTTTGTTCTATGTATAAATACATATATGTATATATGTCTTTAGTTTATGTATATATACATATATGGGGGTGGGCTGCCCACAGAGACCAGGAAAAGGCATCGCATACTTTGGAGCTGCAGTCAGAGCTGGGTTAGAGGCTGGAGGTGGGTGCTGGGGTCTTGAACTCTGAACTTCAAGAGCAGCAAGCTTGCGGGCCTGTGAGCCAGCTCTCCGTTCTTGTCGATCCCACTCTGACTGGTGAGCGGCTTTTTTGTCCACGTTCTTAGAGAGGAACTCAGTGATTGGCTGGGGGGCTTTACCCCAGCTTCTGGCATAAGCCCCCTCCCCTGGGAGTTGCCTCAGCCCAAACTCCACCTCCGAGAAAGGCCCCACCAAACGGTGACCCCTCCCCAGGGAAGGTCAGGACCACTCCCTCAGGATATTTAAACTACCCCCCAGAGAATGAACACGTGGTCTCCGGATTTTGCCTGGTCTCTCTCTCCCTCTCCATGCTTTTCCCAGGGCCACCTGTGAGTATTGCATTAAACATGGGCACCTTTTATTTGGTCTGATTTGGTTTGATTTGTGTCGGCGCGGTGGATAGGTTTGGCTTAAGACAAAATACCTAACACTGAAGAATTTGGACTTTAAAACTGTTTGTTCTAGCTGGGTAGTGGTGCCACACACCTTTAATCCCAGCACCCAGGGGGCTTAAACCGTCTCTCTTTTTTTAAAAAAAAATATTTATCAAGTATACAGTGTTCCGCCTGCATGTAGGTGTTCATGCCTGAAGAGGGCACCAGATCCCATTATAGATGGTTGTGAACCACCATGTGGTTGCTGGGAATTGAACTCAGGACCTTTGGAAGAGCAGCCAGTGCTCTTAACCTCTGAGCCATCTCTCCAGCCCCTTAAAGTGTGTCTCAAAATAGACAAACAAACAAACAAAAACTTAACTGTTTTTTCTCTTGATTTTATTTTTTAATTTTTTGTGTACCCCAAGCTGACCTCAAACTTGTAGCAATCCTCCAGCCTCAGCTTCTCAAGTGTTGATTACAGTTATGACCCATCATGTCCAACTTAATTTTTTCTTTCTTTTTCTTTTTTCTTTTTCCTTTTCATTTATTTATTATTTATCTTTTTTTGAGACAGGGTTTCTCTGTGTAGAAGTTCCTGGCTGTTCTGAGCTTGCTATGTAGACCAGGCTGCCCTCCAACTTTCAGAGATCCTCCTGCCTTTGCCTCCCAGTTACTGGGATTAAGGGTGTGAACCACCATGCCAGGACCAGTTTAAAATTTTCAATTACAAAATTAAGCACCTATCAATGAAAACTAAAGATAAGTTGATAATAAAAGAAAGGAAGGAAAGGTCCGGGATGGTGGTGCAACCTCCAAAATGGTGGAGCATGCCTTAATCCTAGTACTCAAAAGGCAGAGGCAGGTGGATCTCCATGAGTTTCAGACAGGGCCTAGTTTAGTAGCAAGTTCCAGAGTAGCAAACTACACAATGAGACCCTGTCTCAAAAACAAAAAACAAAACAACAACAACAAAAAAAACCAACCAAAACCAAAAATCAGGAAGAGAACAGTCTTCTGGATCTGGTGTTGGGATCGAAGCCGAAAGACATGCTAGAGACTGCCTTGAATCTCTTCTTGCCATTCAGGACAATGGGGGTCCAAGTTGTAGATTTTCAAGGTCATTCATCAAGTCTTGCAGACCCCAGGACTGTTGAGAGAGAAATTAGGTTGTGCAAACCGGCAGGAGAAAGGGAGCAGAGAGGCTATAGGGACATTCATGGAAAAAACAGGGACAAAGAGGTGAGAGCGCCTGAGGGAGGTAGAGAAGGCAAGGACTGGGAGGCCCTGATGGGAGAGAACAAAAGATGTCTAGAGAGGAGGGTGTGGGGGGCGGAGTGTGGATAGCAGGGACTCCAAAGCCCAGCTAAGTGAAAGAAAACCTGCAAGCAGGATGGCGGAAGGCAGTACTGCAGAAGAGGGTGGAGCCTGAAGCGGGAAGCAGCGTCTACTGTAGGAGGGGCCTCTAGTAAGAGGGCGGAGTTTGTAGCAAGTTGGATGTCGGATCTCACCTCCTTGATCCTCCCGAGCCTTCTCTGTATACACCTGCTGTTTTTCTCCAGTTCCTTCCACGGCCTGAACGGCACTTGGGGGTTTACAAAGTTTATCCAGCAGTCAGTAAATTCTGAGATGGAAAAGAGGGTAGCCAGTGAGGCCCTAGGCTTCCAGAGACTTTCCTCCATCGTCCTCCCACCTCCCCTCCCAGGGTATTACTCTCCCCATAGAATCCGCCCTTCTGGGTGGAGGCAAATCTTTGGCTTCAGCAGAGCCAGCACCCTTCCTTCCTGCCCAGCGTCACCCCCATCCTCCTGGGTATGACTAGTCCTCTTGGAGCTGGGAAACCTTTGCCTGCTGGTGGCTGTGGTCCCTTCTTACGTGGGAGGTCCATGACGTCCACCTGGATCCCTGATCTCCACATAGAACACAGCCCCTCCTGGTACTTCCTCCTCCAGTGGAAGTACAGGCGGGAGGCATAGATACGCAGGACTAGGCACGGGTGATCCCTTTTGAATGCAACCAGTTCCTGGGCACAGTTCGGGCAGGGGCTCCATGTGAGGTAGCAGGTGATTCGCTCTTGACCCAGCTTCAAGGAACGCATCTCATCAATGAAGAGGATTTCTGCATGTTTACCTTTCTGAGGGGAGTCCAGGCAGAGAGAAGGAAGAGTTGGAAGGCAGAAAGAATCCGGACATCATGTGGCTGGGGGCAAGCTTGGAGACCAGGGGCTCTTTCTTATGAATATCCTAATGTCTTGCCTAGTGTGAGGAGGGCACTCACCCACTAACTCCACATTCCCAAAGCACCACAGCCTTTTCTAAACTTGACAAGGATCTCAGAGGTGCCCAGAGAGAAGGTGTCAGCAAACAGTTGATGCTTTCAAGTTATGGTCCCCAATGCTGTGACCTCACTTCAGGATACTGACTGGAGAGGTTTTCTTTTCTTCTTTTGATTTTTTTTTTTTTTTTTTAATGACAGGGTCTCTCTGTAAAGCCCTGACTATCCTGAAACTCACACTATATAGATAGAGCGGGCTGGCCTTCAACTCACAGAGATCCACGCATCTCTGCCTCTCTAGTGCTGGAATTAATGATGTGGGCCACTATGCAGGGCAAGAGCCTTTCAAAGATGTTTTAATCAGGACTCAGGCTGGGAGACAGCAGTGAAGAGGTTGGTTTCTGTGTGTTTCTTCAATGCAGTAAAAAGGCTAAGCCGGGAGGGTGCTCAAACACTGAGTGAGGGCACCTTGAAGGGCAGAAGCGTGAACTATACAAGGTTACAGCTTCACATGATCCAGGGCCAGCAAAAGACTGAGCCCCAGTGTGTGCAAAACAAAAAGAGAGGGAAGTGAAAGCCAAGACCCTCAACGTGTGCATGATGTAGTGGAGAGGGGAAGTCCCTGGCTGCCTCTCCATCTGGCTCTGAGAACCCATGTGGCACCTTGTTTTGCAGGCAGCCTTTGAGTGGCTCTTGGTCACTGCACCGCTCCAGCTGGTAGCACAGATAGGTTTTCCTTTGGTAGTAGCGATGCTGGACTGGCTGGACCCGGTGCCCGTTGTTAAATTGTAAGTAGAATGTGTTTTCTCTCAGCAGACTCTCTGGGCTTCTAGATAAGAAACAAACAAGGCAAGGTGTGAAAATGTGAACTCTGGGCTCAGCCAACTCAAGCCAACCCTGGCCAAGGAGGGGGAAGGTGCAGGTGCACTGGGGAGTTCCCCCTCTCACGCTGTACACTGCCCCCAACTGCTCGTGGATGCCAGTTAGGAATGACGGTCACGCTGAACCATTCTAGAAAATGCTTTACATGTATTTATCTGTTTATTAATTCTGGCTGTGTGCATGCGTGCCATTATGCACGAATAAATGCCATAGCACGTGTAGCGGTCAGAGGTTAGCTTGCAGTAACTGGTCCCCTCCTAGCATATGGCTCATCAGGTGGCAGCACATTTACCCACTCAGACATCTTGCCAGCTCAAGACATAGTTTTGTTTTGTTTTTGAGACAGGGTTTCTCTATGTAGCCTTGGCTGTCCTGAAACTTGCCCTATAGACCAGGCTGGCCTCAAACTCAGAAATCTGCTTACCTCTGCTGGAATTAAAGGTATGTGCTACCACTGCCTGGCCCGAGACATTTTTTGACTCAAGGTCTGGCTCTTGCTGGTCATAAGTCCAAACTTGAGTTGACGTGGCTACATGCCGTCACTGCCAACGTAGAAACCTCCCCCCACAGAAGCAGGCCCACACTTCCTACTGCCCTGCCTGATGATCTAATGACTTATCTGCCTCTGCTTTTGATGTCTGCATCACCAGTCTGTCACCTCCATCCCCACTTGCCTGATACTTCAGGAGAAAGTAACCCCATGTTCTCAGGGGGACCACATGCCTCGTGTGTGCAAAACTGCAAATACAGGTTAACGGATAACGGGGTTTTGCCCCTCTGCTTTGCCCCTTCCCTGGTCTAAGGTTAAGTTCATTGTGCAAGATCAATGAAACCTTCCTTTCATTTAAAAAGGATTTTAAGCTGGACAGTGGCGGCACACACCTTCAATCCCCGGCACTTGGGAGGCAGAGGCAGGCGGATCTCTGTGAGTTCGAGGACAGCCTGGTCTACAGAGCGAGTTCCAGGACAGCCAGGACTACACAATGAAATCCTGCCTCAGAAAAACAAAAACAACAACAACAAAAAGATTTTAGTTTTCATCTTTAGTGATGTGGGGGTTGGGTGGGGGTGTGTGTGCACATGTGTGCAGGTGCCCACAGACGTTAGAAGAGAGTGTCACCGTCCTGAAACTGGGCTTACAGGCAATTATGAGAGACCTGGCGTGAGTGACTCTGCAAGAGCAGCTGGCACTCTTAACCACCGAGTGTTCTCGGCCGTGCCCAAGCTTCTTTTATCTAGGCCAGATCTTGCTGGAAGGTAACGTTCTGTGGCCCTCAGAGCCCTGTGAAATCAAGTCCCTCGCTTCCCCAAGAAATGTGGGTGCGGGCGTGGGCACAGGCACACTTGAGCACACAGATAACATCCAGGCGGCGATCCAACTAGCAACACATGGGAACGCTGGGGGTTAGCGGCACATAAACAGCCAGGCGGAACTATCCTTCAGCGTATTCCACAGCCGAAATTTATAAACCTACACCAAGGATAAAGGGGCCAAAAGGGCAGCCGGAACCCAGGGGAGGATGGGTGGGGTCTTACAACATTCAAAGTACTTTTTCTTCAAGATGATCCCAAACCTACTTATGCCCATTCGTGCCTCCTTGCCTGTGCCTACCAGATAGATCTTTTCTTTCTTTTTTTTGTTTTTTTGTTTTTTTTTTTTCTTTAGACAGGGTTTCTCTGTGTAGCTTTAGAGCGCATCCTGGAACTCGCTCTGTAGATCAGGCTGGTCTCAAACTCATGGAGATCACCACCGCCCAGCTAGATTTGGCAAAAAACTTGCCTTGTTTTTAAAGGCAAGGTCTTACTGTGTAGCTCTGGTAGACCTAAAACTCACCCTGTAGAGCAGGTTAGCCTTGAGCTCATAGAGATCCACCCTATTGGTGCTAGGATTAAAAGCCTGTGCCACTGACTGGGAGTTGGGAGGGCATGGGGCGGGGCGGGGAGGGGGCGGGGGGGAGGTCGATCTCTGAGTTTAAGCCTAGCCTGGTTCCAGAGTGAGTTCCAGAACAGCCAGAGCTACACGGAGACTCTGTCTCAGAAAAACCAAACCAAACCAAGCCAACCAACCAACCAAGATCTGTGCCACCTCACCTAGTGTTAGGCCGGTCCTTTGAAAGCAATTCTATTTCGTCTTTATCTATGTGCGCGTGCACCGTCCCCAGGTAGCAATTTAGCCTCTGGTGACTATGTGGGGACTGGGGAATTTGGCCTCCGACTGTTCTTTTGTTTCTCCTAACTTGGAGCCCTTGAGGAGCTGGGGGTTTTCCCAGTGTACTTGAGGCATCTGTGCCTGGTGTGTGTGTGTGTGTGTGTGTACATGTGCCTTAGAGGGAAAGGTCACACACCCATGTGGGAGGGAACTAACTCTCCCAAGTTGTCCTCTGAGCTGCACACGCGCTCCTTGCCACACATGCACCCCCTTACCCATACACAAACACAACACAAAAAGGGTTGAGGCTCTTTTATAGAATGAAAGAGAATCCTTGCCAGTCATACATCTAACAGGGAATTCATACATTGAAGATAAAGAGCTAAAAAATAAATAAATAAACACCGAAACCCACAATCCAATCAGTAAATGAGAAATGAATCAAACAGTTCTCACAAGAAGTACAAAGGAGGGGCTGGAGAGATGGCTCAGTGGTTAAGAGCACTGGCTGCTCTTCCAGAGGACCTGAGTTCAATTCCCAGCAACCACATGGTGGTTCACAACCATCTGTAATGAGATCTGGCGCCCTGCTCTGGTGTGCGGGCATACATGTAGGCAGAATGTTGAATACATATTAAATAAATCTTTAAAAAAAAAAAAATAAGTACAAAGGAAGCTGGGTGGCAATGGCACACGCCTTTAATCCCAGCACTCGGGAGGCAGAGGCAAGGGGATCTCTGTGAGTTTGAGGCCAGCCTGGTCTAGAGAATGAGTTCCAGGGCATCCAGGGCTTCACAGAGAAACCCTGTCTTCAAAACAAAACAAAACAGAAGTACATGAAATCGACACATGGTGAAAAAATGTTCAGCATCTTTGGCCGGGGGGAAATGCACTGAGGCTGGGTGACTGAGGTGGTGAGACCCTGACCATGCGAGACTGAAGTGGTGAGACACTGGCCATACAGGCAGGAGGACCTGGTTTGGATCCCAAGCACCCATGGAAAAAGCCAGCTATAGAGGTTTGGGCCTGTAATCCCAATACTGCACACTTTGTCCAGGGTATGCCTGGAGCCGGCCATCCAGCCCGTGTGGCCCACTTGGTGAGAATACCCAGCATTCCTCTGCCATTCCCAACATGCACACACACACATGAACCCATACACATGCCCCACACAAGCTATATTGAGTCTCTGCCTCACGCAGCAATACCTCATGCACTTGGGCAGTAGAGGCAGGAGGATTACAGCAAGCTATGGTCTACATAGTGAGCTTTAGGCCACCTAGGGCTTTGTGATGAAGGACCCTGTCTAATAAAAGTAAACAAAAACATGAAAAAGATAAATAAGCGACCACAAATATTGATGAGGAATGGGTGTAGGGAAGAAGCCCTGGCATTGTGGCTAGGCACACGCTAGTGCAGTCACCATGCAAGAGCACAGAGGTTCAGCAGACAGCCAAGCATTCACTATCACATGACCCCCACACACCACTCCTCAGAATACATGGGAAAGACTCCAAGTCACATTGCAGAGGCAACTGCACATCTGTGTTTATTCTGATACCCACAAAAGCCAAAATACGGGGCCAGCCTGGGTGTGTCCATCAGCAGAGGAATGGGTGAAGAAAAGGGAGCCTGGTTACATGATGGGGTTTTCTTCAGCCATGAAGGGGGAAAGTATGTGCTTATTGGAGACCGTGTGTGCGCATGCGCGTGTGTGTCTGTGTGTGTGTGTGTGAAAGTAAAAGGGAGATGTGGTGAGGAAGGGTCCAGTGGGCGAGGGAACAAGAACTCACTGGGGTGCGTGTGTGTGAGAGCCAACTATGATATATTATTTGTGAAAACCCCACAATTAAATCCATTATTTTGTGCATTGATTTTAAAATTATAAATATATATAAATGCATTGGAAACAAAGCTAAAAGCACAGAACTGGGCAAAGAGTGGGGGCTTCTGAAGAGGCAGGACCTGGGGTGGGAGGGAGAGAGACGAAACAGCTGGTACTGTTCCGCTCTCTGGAAGCCATCTGTGGCCCTGGGAAAGTCCCTGGTTTGTGACTGGGTTCCTAAAACACCTGCTTGAGACTCACACACCCCTACCAGGGTCTCTAGGTGGGGTGGCTCTCTTGTTTTTAATCTCCTTGGGCTCTGTCCATCAATATTTTCTGTTTTCAAGCCTCCCACATACCTGTCTTGGGGCATCCTGTGGGGTATCCTGGGCAGGTTGATCCTAGTCCTGCTCTGGGTCCTTGGGTCTGGGGCTCCACTTCCTACCAAGTAGGCGCTGTCTATGAGACCCTGATAGTGATCTAGAGGCCCCACCCCGGAACAGGAGGGCCCAGGGCAGTTAGGTTGGCTCGGGCTCACCCTTCTTCCTGTTGTCCTCTGACTTGACAAAGCAGAGCCTAGGATGGAGACAAGTCTCCCCATGCAATCTGAACAGAGATCCAAAAGGAAAGAGGAAGTAAATGCCAGAGAGGGAGGTGGGTGCAGAGCTTCCCCCACAAAGGGGGAAGGGCAGATGGTGCCTTCTTCACTCACTCCTAACTGGCGCTTGGTGTGGTTCAAGGCACAGGATTTCCTCTCCAGCCTCAGAGAAGGTAGCACCTCTGCCCTACCTGCTATCCCCCCAATACCGCAAGGGGGGGGGGGTTGTGGCTCTGACATCTCAGAAGAGGTCTCAAGCGCACAGAGAAACTGAGTCTCTAGAGGTCACGTTGCAAATGAAGAACATGGCTGGAGAGTGGCCAGGTCTGCTTGGCTGTGCTCCCTCCTCCTCCAGCTGCTGCTTCTGTGGCCCTCATTGTTTACAGGAAGCAGCAGAAATAGGGTTGGGGAAGAGGTGGCTCCCACCCAGGGCCTGCCAGGTCTAAGCTACAAGGACACGGACTTCAAGTTCACATTCCTGAAGCTGTCAGTCTGCTCTGGCAAGTCTCAACCAAGGATCCTCAGATTAGAGAATACAAAGAACATTCTGTAAAAGTTGTCACCTCAGGGCCTGGCTCTCACAAGACCAAGAGTCCCCAGCAGGTCTTCCCCTCACCATTACCCTCTGTACCTCCTCCCCACCCTCAGCCTCCATCCTGCCCTGGCTCCACTCCTGACGTTAACAGAGGTTCAGGCAAGAGTTTAGAGACACCCTTTCCCTCCCCGCATTCTGTCCCATTGTCCGAGGAATATTTCGGGATGAGCCGGGTCCTTTTAGGAAGAGATCACATCTGTATACTGGCAGCTTATCCAAGTCAGAGTGCTGAGGCACGTCCCACATCAAGGAGTGGAACCCTGGCTTCTCCCTCGAGAATATTCTCACGTCTCCAGACTTAAGAGGCACTGTGAGGGACAGAAAACACCAACTCTATGAGCCACGGGCAGAGAGGAGATTGCTGCCAAGGGAGCCATGCCAGGCTCAGGCAGCTATTAGACATTTGGGGGCAGGTCTCAAGAACAAGCCTAAGGATCTCCCAGCACAAGAAGCAGTCTTACTCATGAGGGACAATGTTGGTGACTGGGACACTGGGGCTTGGGGCCACATCAGGGCTCCTATGATATACCTTTCCCTTTGGGGAAGATCTGGAAGGCAAACATGCTGACCCAGCCAGAGGACCCCTAGATGCTGCCTTCAAATGACATACCAACAGCCCAGAGGAAGATGGGCTTTCTCTGGCCATCACACAGTGAGCTCATGGCACCCCTGCCTCTGAGTCTGTGGGCCTGGAGTCATCCGGGTTAAGCAGAGCTCCTGCTTCTCATGGTGTTATGAAATGGTCTACCAAGGGCTATGGTCCCTGGCCAATCCATCAGCATGCTGCCTGAGCTTCCTTGAAACACCCACCTCCTGGTCTCACTTCCCATCCTGCCTGGTGCCAGATGTGCATTCCCTGGCTGTCCCTCTTGAACTCACAGAGATCCTCCTGCCTCTGCCTTCCGAGGGCTGGGATTAAAGACATGCGCCACCACTGCCTGACTCGGCCTTCTACTCTTAAAAAAAAAAACAACTATTTAATTGTATTATTTTATATTATTATTTTGAGTGTGAGCGCATGTATGTGTATGATGTAGGTGCATACCTTCCATGGCCTAAGTCTGGAGGTCAGAGGGCAACGATAGCGCTGTTTCTCTCCTTTCTCCTTTATGTGGGTTCCAGGGATCAAAATTCATGTCGCAAGGCTCGCGTGCCAAGCACCTTGACCCACCAAGCCATCTTGTCAGCCTGCTTCTACGCTCACCCATCTTGTTCCTCCACCCTCCTCTCCCCAGCCGTTTATGGAGGTATATAGTCCACCATTCCTTTTAGTTCAGGCCCCAGTCCCTGCGGCTCACTGGCACCGCACCCCCACCCAGGACTCCACGTTGGGGGGAGGGCTCCAGGGTATAGCAAGGTCTAGACAAAGAGGGTGTTAGGGCGTGGTCAGGGGTTCTCCTGTAGGCTGACAACCAGAGCAAGGACACAAAGAAGCCTCCTACTGCCCAGGGCGGGGTAGTAGTGGTGCTCACCTTTAATTCCAGAACTCCCTAGGCAGAGGTAGGCGGATCTTTGTGAGTTCAAGACCAGCCAGGCTCCATAGCTACTGAGAAACCCTGTCTTGAAAAACAAACAACAGCAACAACAAAAGGAACCCAAGTTCAAGGTCCTAAGCCTGACTCCGAGTGCAACCATTTAGGCAGGTCCTAATCCAGGCCTCATGGGAAGAGGAAATTTGGACAGAGGGAGGCTAGGAAAGAAGGACCACACAGCACACAATGACCTAACAAGAAGGGACCATCTATAAGGCAGTGGAGAGCCTCAGAAAAGCTGCCTGTCAGCCTCTTGGACCCGCAGAGAGCACAAGCTGGCTTAGCATCGGTGGGTGACTTCACGGCAGTTGGGACTCTAGCAGCCTCTTCCTTCCTCTGAGCACTCAAAGCTGCTTTTTTTTTTTAAATTTTTAATTTTTTTTTGGTTTGTTTTTTGAAATAGGGTTTCTCTGTGTAGCTCTGGCTGTCCTAGAATTCACTCTGTAGATCAGGCTGGCCTTTAAGTAAATCAGAGATCCGCCTGCTTCTGCCTCCCAAATGCTGGGATTAAAAACGTGGGCGCTCAGTGGCTGCTTTTTTTAAAAAATGTATTTTCTATGTGCATTGGTGCTTTGCCTGCATGCATGTCTGTGTGAGGGTGCAGGATTCTCCTGGAACTGGAGTTACATTGGAGCTGCCATGTGGGTGATGGGAATTGAACCCGGGTCCTCTGGAAGTGCAGTGTTTTGAACTGCTGAACCATCTCTTCATTCCCTCACGGCTGCCTTGTTGGAATTTCTCTACCTTCCAATCTCCATGCTTATACTCACACCAAGTCACTTCTGTTTAGCAACTGGATTCAATCATGATGTCATGATGGGAGACACCAGATTAGGGAGTGGGAAGGGCCTTGTGGGTCAAGATGCCCCAGAGAAAGAGGAGGTTTGGGAGGAGGAAGAAGAAAGAAGGCCAGGCATGAGAAAGCCCCTCACCTGAGAATATCACAAAGCGTTGATTCATGGGACCAAAAATTTATTTTAAGTTTCTTCCAAGGCCTGAATGACTTTCCTTGATTGTCCACAAATTTGTCCCAACACTTTTCAAATTCTGAGATAGAAGAGAAGAGAAAGCAGTCAGGGGCCAGCAGGACTTTCCACAGTCCCTCCAGGCCGACTCTCCGACTGCTCCCCCTTCACCGTAGGGCACACCCCCAGACACTCACCTGGAAAGTCCATGGCAGCCATCTGGGCTCCTGCCTGATGCAGCCTTCGAAGCTTGTCCTGGTAGTTCGGGTGCCAAAAATAGTAGAGGCGGGAGCTGAAGATGGCCAGGCTCAGGTTGCGGTGAGTGTCCAGGAACCTGGCCAGCTGCTCCGCACAGCCATCGCAAGGGCTCCAGGAGGTGTACCAGGTGATCGTGTACTTCTCACCGGGAGGTAACACTTCCAGTATGTGGGTGTGGAACCAGTACAGGAAGCATTCTTCAGCATGGAGGCCGCCATTCTGGGAAAGAAAGGGGAATCCATGATGGGGAGGGGAGGAGCAGGTTGCATGCGGACAAATAATCCTGGTACTGGTTCTGTGTCTCCGTTCTTCCCCATCCTCCTTCCTTAATTTCGCATCCCTCACCATTCTTGGTTTAGCTATCAACCTCACATCCATTCTGCATCTCCCTGGCTTCTCTCAGTAGCACTCTGAGCCTTGCTGGTAGCCATGCCCATTGGGGGTAACTAGATATCATCTGCCTGCCGTATCTGCTCGGGAGGGCATGGGCTAAGATGTTCCCTTAACCAGGCAAGGGTAGCTCCCGAGTCTTGAAATGCGGCTCATTCATCTGAGTTAACATTTGCAGCATCTACACAACACACACATCGTTTTGTTTCCTCTAAAATTATCTATTTGTTTATTTATTTATTGGTTTTTCAAGACAGGGTTTCTCTGGGTAGCCCTGGCTGTCCTGGAACTAGCTCTGTAGACCAGGCTGGCCTCAAACTCAGAGATCCAGCTGCCTCTGAGGCCTCTGGAGTGTTGGGATTAAAGGTGTGCACTGCCGTGCCCGGCCATATTCTCAACAGACTGAATTCCTGCCTCTTCTGAGAAGAATCTGAACAATCTATTTAGGTTTTTTTTTTTGTGTGTGTGTGTGTGTGTTTTCCTGTGTGTTGGAACACATGTGTGCCAGAGCATGTACATGAGGTGGCTAGAAATTGACACTGGATCTTTTTCTTGTTTCCTCTCCACATTGAGGCAGGGTCCCCCACTGTGCCCAGAGCTTGCTCTGGAGAGTCCCTGGCTCTGCCTCCCATTGGTTAGGATTTTAGCTGCCTTCTCTGTCCTCCTGGCTTTCACAGGCTTTTGTGGCACCCCTCTGCAGCCTCTTGGCATTTATTTATTTACTATTTATTGATTTATTTGTTTAGACAAGATCTCACATAACCCAGGCTAGACTCAAACTCTACATAACCAAGGATACGCTTGAGCTTCTGGTCTCCTGTCTTCACTTCCTGAGTGCTAGGACCACAGGCGTGAGCCACTCTGCCTGGTTTTTCTGCGCTGCCAAGGATCAAACCCAGGACTCCACGTACCTCTTTTCTAAAGACCCCTTGGCAAAGGGGGACAGGTACACCATGCTCCATCCTGTTCACTTCATAGCACAAGAAGGTATTCTTTCGGCCGTTGGCATAGAGTAGGTTCTTAAAGTGGAAGTAGTATGTTCTTTGATATAACGTCTCTATCGGGTTTCTGCAGGCATAAGAGAGAAAACAGAAATGTCAGAGTGTGCCCTGGAGTGACCCCAAGCAGAACAAGGCCCCTGGAGTTCTGAGACACCGCCTGCCCTTAACCTTTGACAAGCTCTATAGTCTTTCCAAGCAGGAAGATGGGGAGAGAAGAGAAAAATGCTGCAACCAGAGTGGTACCCTCGTACCCACGTCCCAGTGCTGGTCCCTCCAGTGGAGCCCCTAGCGGAGACCACAGAAGGCCCCAAGCTCTCCCACCCATAAGTAATAATAACTTTTAGCATTTCACCCCAGCTCCTTCCTGACTTGACACCTCTGCAGGGTAGGGAGGTTCTTAGAATCAAGGAAATGGTACCGGAGCAACAACTCAGTCAGGAAAGCGCTTGCACACAAGTCCTGACTCTCAGAGAAAATATAGAAGTCAAGCATAGGGGTGTGCATCTCTAACCCCAGAATTGGGGTACCAAGACAGGAGCTCATTGACCAGCCAGCCAGAATCTGCACCTTGTTTCAGTGAAAGACCCTAGCTCATTAAAAAAATAAAAAAGGCAGAAAGCAACTGAGGAAAACAGGTGACATCAGCCTCTGGCTCCCAGACGTGAGCACACATACACAACCCCTCACACATACAGATATACTGTTGGAGAAATCCCTAACTTCACAGAGATAGTCTACTCTTAGCATTTCTTGTGTCTGAACTCCTCAAATCCTTCCATGACCCTGAGGGAGATGTTTCCAGGTAATAGACAGAGAAAACCCAAACCTATTACTATAGCCTTTGGGGATCAGGACCAGGGGGATTATTCCTAGATTGAGTCCTGCTTGATCTATGTAGTGAGTGGCAGGCTAGCCAGGGCTTCATAGCAAAATCCTGTCTGAAAAAACAAACAAAAGCAGTTAAACTGCCACCACAAATTCCCACAACACAGTAACAACCAAAAAAAAAAAAAAAAAAAGAAAAAAAAAAAAACCAAAAAAAACCAACCAAAAAAAAAAAAAAAAAAAAAAAAAAAAGAGGAGACAGAACTCCCCTACCATAGAGCTGGGACAGAGCCAGGTCCAGTTAGGCCGGCTGATCCATGTTGTCATTGGG